CTGGTAAACAAATGACGTCATGATATGTTTATCAAATGATTGTCGATCACTGGGTTAACTGTTCTTAAAGTGTCCCGGAGGTAGTTTCCTCCAAAATAAAGATAACTCACTAGAGTTCAACGAAGAGTCTATTATCTATCCCTAACGTTTTACACATTTAATTATGTACATTCGTTTTTCCAATTCTCGATAATAAACTATCATTAATAGTCTAATCCCGTAAATCCGAATTAGAGCCTCGTGACGTGTCTAGAGCTCTATTTGGCCCTAATAACTCGGACCAAGTCTTTCCACGCCCTCTTTCGTGCCTTCTACCATTAGGGAAGATAGAGTTTGGTGGTATTGTGTGTTGTTTAGATTAGTCTAATGCCGATTGATATCCGTGTTGACCATATTCTGAGGTTCCGGATTGGTCTACACGTACGTATCAATTATTATCAATTATCACTTATCAGTCGCTAGTTTTAAAAAAAACGACAGATGATATGTAACAGTAGATCTTACCATAAAATAGTATACTTGGCAAATGTTTGGATAATCTTTGAAGAAACAACTCGAATTTCTGTTGTATTCCATTCACGATAATACAAGTATTACCGAAAAAAAGAAATGTACAAGTAAATTGTATGATGCGTTAGACATAAATTCCGACAAACCGATTCTAAATTTAGCACTTCTCGTAAATACCTTTTAACAACACAAAATTTATAGTAGATTATAAAATTTGCTGCAAAGCAATTTATAACTTCTGAACTATTTATGCTAGTCATCCTGTTTTTTTTTTAAATATTTGCATTATAAAATAAATTGGGCTTTAATTTCTTAAAGATATTAAACCTAATATGAAAAGATGACATTTGAGCAGTGTTTGAAATCTGTTGAAGATGGTGATAAAAATAAGCAATACAATCCAGGAACTATTAAATTTAAGGATTAAAAAAAGACAATTGAATGGTATTTAAAATCTGCTGAAAGTAATGTAGATATTGCTGGTGATAAAAAGAAAGAATTTGAATGGTATTTGGAATCTGCTGAAGGTGGCGATTCTCGTGGACAGTGTAATCTTGGATTCTATTATGAAAATGGCATAGGCACTGCTAGGGATGAAAGAAAGGCATTTGAATGGTATTTGAAATCTGCTGAAGGTGGTAATCCGACTGGGAAACTTAATGTTGGATTCTGCTACAAAAATGGTATAGGCACAATCAAGGATGAAAAAAAGGCATTTGAATGGTATTTAAAATCTGCTGAGGATGGTAATTCTGATAGACAATATAATGTTGGATTCCTTTATGAATATGGTATAAGCACTGCTAGGAATGAAAGAAAAGCATTTGAATGGTATTTAAAATCTGCAGAAAGTGGCAATACAAAAGGGCAATTTATTGTTGGCACCTGTTATGAAAATGGTATAGGCGCAACTAAGGATGAAAAAAAGGCATTTGAATGTACCTGAAATCTGCCGAAGGCGGTAACTCCGATGGACAATGTAGTCTTGGATACTGTTATGAAAATGCCATAGGTACTATTAAGGATGAAAAAGCAGCATTTAAATTGCATTTGAAATCAGCCCAAGGTTGTAATTCTCGTGGACAATGTAATCTTGGATTCTATTATGAAAATGGCATAGGCACTGCTAGGGATGAAAAGAAGGCATTTGAATGGTATTTGAAATCTGCCGAAGTTGATAATTCGACTGGGCAACTTAATGTTGGAATCTGCTATAAAAATGGTATAGGCACAACTAAGGATGAAAATAAGGCATTTGAATGGTATTTGAAATATGCTGAAAGTGGCAATTCGAAAGGACAATTTAATGTTGGATTATTTTATGAAAATGGTATAGGCACTGCTAGGAATGAAAAAAAAGCATTTGAATGGTATTTAAAATCTGCTGAAGGCGGCAATTCGAATGGACAATTTAATGTTGGATCCTTTTATGAAAACGGTATAGGCACTGACGAGGATAAAAGGAATGGTATCTGAAATCTGCTGAAGGTGACAATTCAAAAGGGCAATTTAATGTTGGAATCTGTTACAAAAATGGTATAGGCACAACTAAAGATGAAAAAAGGCATTTGAATGGTATCTGAAATCTGCTGAAGGCGGTAATTAAAGGGGCAATTTAATGTTGGAATCTGCTACAAAAATGGTATAGGCACAACTAAAGATGAAAAAAAGGCATTTGAATGGTTTTTAAAATCTGCTGAAGGCGGTAATTCTGATGAGCAATGTAATATAGGGTTCTTTTATGAAAATGGTATAGGCACTGCCGAAGATAAAAGAAAGGCATTTGAATGGTATTTAAAATCTGCTGAAGGTGGAAATTCGAATGGACAATGTAATGTTGGATTCTATTATGAAAATGGTATAGGCACTGCCGAGGATAAAAGGAAGGCATTTGAATGGTATTTGAAATCTGCTGAAGGTGGTAATTTAAAAGGGCAATTTAATGTTGGATTCTGCTACAACTATAGTATAGGCATAACTAAGTATGAAAATAAGGCATTTGAATGGTATTTGAAATCTGCTGAAAGTGGCAATTCGAAAGGACAATTTAATGTTGGATTATTTTATGAAAATGGTATAGGGACTGCTAGGGATGAAAAAAAAGCATTTGAATGGTATTTAAAATCTGCTGAAGGTGGTAATTCTAATGGACAATATAGGCTAGGATTTTATTTTGAGAGTGGTATAGGAACTGTTAAAGATGAAAAAAAAAGCATTTTGAATGGTATTTAAAATCCGCAGAAAGTGATAATTCTGATGGACAATATAAGCTAGGAATTTATTTTGAGAATGGCATAGGAACCGTTAAAGATGAAAAAAAAGCATTCGAATTGTATTTAAAGTCAGGATTGAAAATTTGTAAAGAATGTAATGATTTAAACATAAGTAAAAACTGGTGTAAACCATGTAATATACTTCATTTTGAAAAAAAATTTGCAAAATGGACAAGTGAAAATAAGGCTATTGATGAGTTTATTCAAGAAACTCAGCTAAAAGCGTCAAATTGTTGTGATGTTTTAGAATGGATTCAATTTGATAAGCTTAGAGACATTAAATATTTAGATAGAGGTGGATTTAGTAAAGTATATTCAGCAACCTGGATCGATGGCTATATTAGAAATTGGGATTATCAAAGAAAACAATGGAAAAGGAACGATGAAATGATGGTGACTTTGAAATGCTTGGATAATCATCATAAATTTGAAGAATTTTTACAAGAGGTACTATACATAACGATTATTAGAATGCGAATTTTTAGTACTTATAAGTCACCCTACATATTTTTTTTTTTAAAAAAAAATTATTAAATTTTTAGGTTAAGTTTCACATCAATATAGAATACGGAAAATGTACTATATGGTGTTATGGATTAACTAAGGATCCGAATACTAATGAGTACATGATGGTTCTGGAATATGCAAATTATGGAAATCTTCGTAATTATATAAACAATAATCCTAATATGTTATCGTGGAATAACAAAGTAAAAATGTTAAAAAATATTGCAACAGGCTTAATGCTATTCATAAGGCAGGATTAGTTCATGGAGATCTTCACATTGGTAATATTTTGCATGATGACCACAATGGAACAAATATTACAGATCTAGGATTAAGTTTCTTCGTAAATAAAATAAATAATTTTGATAATGAAAAACAAACAATATATGGAGTTTTACCTTATACTGCACCTGAGATTTTACGATCAAGGAAATATTCACAAGCTTCAGACATTTATAGTTTCGGAATTATTATGAATGAGATAATTTCAGAAAAACCACCCTTTTATGAAATTCCACATGACATTCATTTGGCATCTGATATTTGTAAAGGCACATGCCCAAAAATTAAAAATGAAATACCAGGTTTACTTAAGCAACTTATTAACAATTGTTGGGATACTATACCAACAAATAGACCAACAGCAAATGTATTGATTGAAATATTTAGCAACTGGGCGGTGGAAATGAATGACCCAAGTTCAGAATTATATGTACAAACCAATAATATTGAAGAATTTAAAACTCAAGATATTACTTCCTCTCAATCTACGTTTGAAATGCACTCAGAATCATGTTATACAAGTAGATTGCTCAGCATTTCTAATTTGCCAAAACTTGATAATTTAAGTAATTTGTATACACAACCTGTGCATACGACTTTAGACCAAGGTAAAAACATGTCTTTTTTACTAAGAACACTTTTTCTATACGTATTATTATTATAACATTAATTTTAAACTAAATTAAATTTATTAGAAACCGAACATTTAGACTGTATTATTTAATTAACTACTTAAAAACATACTTTGCGAAAATGAATTTAGCACGAGATGCTTATATAGAAATCCCATGAAACAAAGTTTGTAATTCAGCATACTACAGTCATTTTACAATTTATACAAAGTTTACCTAAATAAAATTCATCGATTGCTCTGAAATAAGTAAAAATTACTTACCATACAGTGTGGACTAAAAGACCCCTTTTATAATACCCCTCCCTCTCGATTTTCAGAGGCCTAGAATGTAAAGTACCCCGAGTATTAAAGGCGGATTAATTAAACTTGGGGATATAAAATACCCGGGTACTAAAGATGGATTAATCACTTAGAATATATAAAACATTACTGCGGCAATCATATAGTACAACTTATGCCCCATACGCTGACCATAGTATTCCTCCGACTATGATACCCACATATACTGCTTAAATTGTAAAGTATCCTGGGTACTTTAGTCTACGTTGTACGATAATCATCTATATCACTCATTACAAATTTTGTCATATTTATATAATTATATAAAACTTGCATACGAATCAAGGATATCTGTTGTAGAAAGAAATTTTGCAGTCGAGGATATTTAGATCCTTTTTACTATTATTATCATAATTTTGGGAACCTGATAAAAAATTGACCGAATGATTTCAGCTGGTATATAAATTCAGCATGATCCGTATAATACAGCTGTTTTCGTAAATTCTGGCTACTTATTGATTCCGACTCGGTACTGTAACTAATCGATTCGGTCATCGGTAATTTTTCAGTTGTTCTAGAGTTTATGAAAACAGCTGTAAAAGCTATTTTTGCATTATAATGATTATTTTAGATCTTTATAATAATAATGTAAACGTTATTAAATTTTAGTTCGAATGTTCGTACAACATGTTTGGCGTGTTTAATTTGTATGAAAATTTGGATTAAGTCTATTACCCTATAAAAAAATACATCCGAACATGCATGTGTTTCTACGGAAAAGCACGGAGATCTGTGAAATGGCCAGAGAACCGGGTTTGCACGTGTAAATTCCGAGTTGGCGCGACTAAAATGGTCCGAATTGGACCGTTTGCCCGGACATTTTGGACCGTAAATTGACCGGGTTTTGCTGCCAAAATTCATGGGTTTTGGTTCACGTGCATATATTTCTTACGAGTGGTATAATTGCGAAGGGTGATACAAACATGCCTATGGTAAAATTTTGCAATGAATTTTTTTTTGTTAGGAATTAAAGAGCTTTTTCATAGGCGAGATTTTGAGATACAGCCGATTTTTTGAATTTTCACGTTACACCTGATCCTGCGATTTTATTGTCCATATGAGATACACGTTCCATTTAATACATGTAATTCCAACTAACGAGCCTATACGTGTCATCCTAAATACGTGCCATTCTGGACATGCATACGTATCTAGGGTTTTAAAGTTTACCTATACTGTATTATACCAATAGTTAGAAATAGGTAGTCAATTAAATAGTTAATCAATTAAATTGCTTTATCTGTGAGAACTCGAGTTTACAAAATCTTCCGAAAGTTTCTGATATAATCAACTAGAAAATTCCTACTGGGTGATTATACTATGTTATACAGTATTATACCTGGTATCATACTACCTTATTATTATACCGGTATAATTAAAACCCATTTTAAACGCGTGTAGCGTGTGTGGCGTCATATACGTACGAAACACCCCTGGACTACTTTTTCATAGGGTTATAGGTGACCCTTACATTTGGCATTGTGGTGTGACCAATCATTGGACGTGACAAATAATATTTACTATATAAAAAATACGGTAGATACTTATTTGTTACTTTGAAGATTGATCAAATCCCAGTGTCAGATGAAAGGGACACTCCTAATACGTACGTATATTTAATCCATTCTTTCTAAAACTTTTTTTCAATTATTTGCCAGCGAAAGTAAATTACGTATATGAATGCCGTCAATAAAAACCGGGTTTCAATTATTTGACACCGGACAAAATCTATCTAATTTAATAGGAATTGTGCCTGGTACAAAATATAATTGAAAGCCCGATAATAAGTGTCCCTTCGCAGCATTCTCATATATCAGTTTATTGAATCTATTATTCCGAAATTACAAAATCGAATCGGCCAAAATCGTCCTGGGAATTATGAAAATAGCAGTAAATGTAATTAAATAAAACATCATAAAACCCTATCAAATAAATCTTTAAAATAATAGGAGAATTTGTAAAACATGCTACTCTTTCGGTTACAGCACGATTCCTCAAAAGTTATTTACCCGCCAAACATTTCCTCGACACCGCAATTCCGACATGATATTTCATCTACAGTGCATTTTTTTGATAAGACACATGTTTGCATTGAATTTTTTCGACATCCTTCTCTTAGACAAGACATTTACCCGGCAATAATTTCCCGACATATAATTCTAACCAACACTAATTCTAAATCAGGCTTCAGTCGGGCCGATTTTATGTTGAAGAAATGATTATCGGGGAAATGTCTTATCTAAAGAAGGTATTGTCGAAAATATGTAACGTATTATCGAAAAAATGAGCTACATATGAAATAGCATGTCGACATTGCGGTGAAGGGGAAATGAGTTGCGGGTAAGTAGCCTTCGGGGAATTGAGCGACAATCGTTCTTTCTCGTAATAAAGCTCAACTGCACGTTTTTTTGAGTTAAAGGCTGATCGTTCGACACAAATTATTTCGGGATGCGCATGAGTGTCATTTCGAGGCCGTAGGGTGATACGATTTTCGAAATAACACTTACGAACATTAATTAATACGAGAAAATAACTGTATTTGATAGAAAATTTTTTATTGTGATTTAATTGAGCGAATGAATCAATAATATACATGAAAAAAAATGCATTGCACTTATTTTCTGAAAATAATAGTTGAATGTTCTATAAATTACAACTTATCGAAAAAGTTCTATATACGCTAAATTTACAAAAACAAATCGATTTATCTACAATAAAAATCAAATGAATTAAAAGTTGATATATTAAAAAATATTATTGTAAAGAAAAAGAAATCATAAACATATTAAACACTACATACAATACATACCATATATACAATATCAACAATTAACGACAATTTCATCATATTGTACCAATTTTACATAGTTTTCTAAATTTTTTTCAACTTCTTTTGAATCCGAATAAAAAATATTTACGTACTCTAAAGTTTTTTTTTGCTTACAAAAATCCATTATTGCCTTAGCAGTTTCTTTACTATTATTACAAATAAGCTTCTTTAAAGGAGCGTTACAATGATAAAGCAAAACATCAACATAAGAAGAATCTTCTTTATTAATATTTCTCCACTCAATATATTGTAAGAAAGAAGAGGTAGCCCTAATCAACTGTATAATTCTAGCTTTTATCATTACATCAGGCTTTTCAGAAAACCATAGTAAAGTAAGAAATTGTAATTTTTTCAAGGATTCAACAAGTTTAATAAGTTGAAGGGAAAGTTCAATTGATGAAATATTGAGATAAGTGATATTAGGACAAGAATTTATAAGAGTTTCTACTAAAGAAGATTGAGACTGAATCACACTATCTTCCGGATAAAGTTTCAATCTTTGTAAAGAAGAGTTACTTTTTTTTAAAATTTGAATTACGTCAGGTGAGTCAACTTCAAGATCAATTATTTCTAAAGTATCAAGATTGCAAGATCCATTGGCCAAAGGTTTTAATATTTCAGATTTTTCATCATACCATCTTATACGAAGTGTTTCCAATTTTTCACATTTCAATAATACATTAAAGTTTATACCACTATCATAACAATAATCTATTTTAAATTCCTTCAAAGACTTTTGTTGAGTAGCCAAAGCAAAAATAATTTCCTGAACGTTTAGATCCATACCAGTCAAAATAAATTCAGCAAGCTGACATTGAGTTTTAACAATATTTGCAAGTGCATGGCATAAAGGAGCTACATTATATCCAACATCATGCATATTAAATTGTAAGGTTCGAATTTTTGTAGAAATTTTTGCCAAAATTTTTAAGAAAGCGATATTTTCATCAGAATAAAAATCTTCGTATCCAGTGTCCACAGAAACATGTTGAAGTTGAGAGAAAAAACGAACACTTTGTCCTAATGAATAAAAGATCTCCGATTTAATAATAGATTTTGAAATTATGATATGAAATTTCGATAAAGCGACACCACTTTCAATAAATAATTTAAGTAATAAAGTAGCTATTGTTGTATTTGCTGAATAACGTTGTGAAGTGGTATTTTTTTGAAAAGAAATCCATTGACGAACTTTACTTTCTAGAAATGATAAGTCAAGAACTCTTAAGAACTTTGCATAATGAAAAAGATGAGATGGAAAATCGTCATCTATGGAAATTTTATATTCTTTTAAACATAATCTATCCTCATTATCAAGATATGAAAGGTATTTAGAGATATAAGTAGGTTTTTGGTTAAATGAGAAAGGATCTTTCCAAAGAATAGGAATTGACATTTTGCACCAATGTCGATTTACTAAAGCACACGAATGTAAAGAATTAGAGTCACCCTCCAAATTACGAAGGATGATCTCCATTAATTCAGGCATATTTCCTGTGAATAACTTTAAAGCCATTATCGAAGATATTCAAAAAAAAATACAAAAAAAAAAAACAAAAATTAGATTGTATTAGCGAAAGGTTAAATATTGCGTAACTAAAATATTGCGTAACATTTTCTCAGATATTGTTATATAATTTGTCTTTTTAGGTAATGTGCCAACGCAGCAGTGTATCGTAACACTCAAAGTGACTCAAATACTAATACGTAATTTTTGTGAAGCATCACAAGGCTTTATATATATATACGAATTTGGTAGTTACCACTAACTTTATTAATATTAAAACAGTTCTGATGAACAAAGGCTGTCCTTCAATTTAATGAGCAAAGATAAAATTTTTTGGACTTGTGAAAAATTATAAATTCTATTATTGCTATTACTATAAATATATAAAATAATCACATATAAAGCTTATTTATTGTAAAATGGAGAAAAATAACAATTAACTGGCGTTAATGTTTCGGGCAAATCCGAGATATTTTACCCGGATGATTAAAAACGCAAATTGCTAAAATCTTACGGATTTATTGACAAAGTATCTCAGACTGAGTAATTTAGCTGGTGCACCAATTGGCTTTAATTTCTATAAATGTTTTTTTTTTGATGTAAATTATACATCTATATAAATTTTAGCAATACGTACATACGTACGCACGCACGCATGCACTAAAACAATAGTATGCGAAAATTCAAAATTCAAAATTGTACAACGAACGTCAATCAAATATTAACCTTTATTAATGCATATTAGGGCAAATGTTAGGCAAAATTACTATATTAGTTAATGATCTGTGTCATTAGCGTAACCACACTCTGATCGTTTCATCCTGTCGTATTATCAATGTGTTAATAACTTAAATGATAATCAGCATATAATTTTGGCGCTAGTCAGTTATACAAAATTGGTCATGTACAGAGACTAGAACCTTCACTACGTACAACTTGAAAAATCCAGACCCTTTACGCAAGCTTATTATCATGGTAAAATCAGCATATATTCCTTTTTTAGTGATTTTTATTTAACAGTGACGTTACGTAATTCGATTTTTTTTTATTAACATTTCGTCTGGTTATCGTGTGACATTCTACAACATACTACATTATTTATTATATGTCGTAAGGAAAAACTTTTAAGCAACCTTTTTTCCTATGTAAAATTGTTACATTCTTAACATATTTATCGCATCGTTACGTTTCTATATTCTATATTTGTGTCGTTCGTTTGCATTATAATCAAGCTAAGTTGATAATTTCCATATTTGCGTTTCTTTATATCGCTCATTTGCATAATAATTAAACTAGAGTAATAATTTTTTAATTAAAAGTAAGATGCAAATATTGGCTATTGATACATGACGTGGGAAAAAAAATCTTAAGTAACGATAAATGTTTAAAAAAATAGAGTTTTTGCCGAGTATTAATTCTTTTCATTTAATGTATATTAGTGGATTGTGGAATTTGATAAATAGAAAAACCCTTGAGACCACAAGGGTGGCCAAAAAAATCTCAACCCTATTTCGAAGTAAAATTTCGTGCTGTTAGGTTAGGGTCTTGTTCCTAGGTCAGGTTTGGAGTATTATTTATATAAAAATATTGAAAGGAAATTTTTTTACTAATGCGCGGAAGGCCTTTCATAGACTAAATTTTGAGTTATGAGCGATTTTGACAAAACGAACGTTTGTTTTTGGTCGTGCTACGTTACTCCTTATCTTGAAATTTAATTGGCCGTGAAATTTTTTCGGGTGGTCAGCTCCCATGAGCCGTAGCTCCGATTAAATGGTTAAATTTGCAGTCCATTTAATTTGACCAGTTACGGCTCATCAATTTTAAATTAAATTAATTTAATTTAATTTAATTTACTTATTTTGATTTGTGATTGAATACTATCGCTTTTAATTGTATAAAATGATAATGATATACAAGATTCGGGTCCGGATAAAGATAGTGTGTTATGGAACTTGGTTGACGTTAAAAAAATCAATCAATCAGAAGCAATAATTTTAGCAGCAGTCGACATTTTAAAAAAATTTTTTTAAATGTTTTAACAAATATCAATTGTCTAACAATAAATAAAATAAATCTTATATTTAAAATTCAATCATTTCATAAAAAACACTTTATACAAAATTTTATACAGTCCACTCCCACTATACAGTATTTAGAATATATAATTAAAAATTTGTGACAATGACAAATTTGAGTGTTACTACTGCGAAAGATTATTATAATATGCAGTAAATTTAATTCATCAGATTTATGACACTTTCTTAATAATGAAGAAAAAACATTTTAAAATATGTGAATCCAATAAAAATATGATTATGTATTTACTAGAAAACAGGAACTGTTTAGGTCCGGAGCGTTAATGTCTAGATTTTAATAGTTTGTCCAAAAATTTTATAAATATATCCATGTATTATTTAAACCACGAGGCTACTGCCAAAAGTAATAATAATAATTTTAGAAAGTATATCATATATTAATATAGTAAATTCTGAATATAACAAACTTATAATGAACACTGGATATAAAGAACTCAAATTTTATAATGTTTGATATAAAAAGAGCTAAGTTCTTAAAAAAAAAAAAAGGAGTAATTTTCAATAATGATCATTTTTCTTCCAAAACTATCCGTTCATTATAAAAAGCGCTGACTGTATTTTATTATTTCAATATTCTTTAATTTAATAGGAAAATCACCCTTCGGGATTTTCCGATCGGGCTAATTCGGAAAAGCTTAGACCAGAATGCCAGTTTTTATTCATATGTAAATCACCTTTTGCTTTATTGATTCGATAGTTTATTAAATAAACATGATTATTTACGTATGATAAGAACTGGCCAATGCCTTTCCGAATTAGCCCGATCGGAAAATCCCAAAGGGTGATTTTCCTAGCAAAGATCCAATATAACTCTTAAGTGCTTAGAACTAGTGTTACAAATCGTACCAGAAATGTAATCAATTAGTTGACCAAAAAAATTTAAAAAAATCGTTTAAAAATCGATTATAGTCAATTAATCGATTAATCAATTAGTCAATTAATCGATTAATTGACTAATCGACTAGTTGGTATATCGAAATAGCTTGGATATAATTGCATAGGCATTAATCACAAGTTCAATGTATAAAACAACTAGTTGATTAGTTAATCGATTAACTAACTAGTCGATTAATCAATTAATCGATTAATCGTCGATAATCGACTAGCTGTCTAATAAAATCATCAATCGATTAGTTGCCAATTCGATTAATTAATCAATCGATTAATCGATTTCGATTTGGAACACTACTTAGAACTTGCCAATAATCTGCATCTAGGCAGCACTAACTATAAATCGGGCCAATCTTAACTAAAATAAACTTTTCGACAAATAATTGTCAGCGAACCTTAGTTTAATTTTTTTTTCTCTTATATACGTACATTCATGAAGATATTTAACAATTAATGAATTATTGTAGCATGGCAATAATAGGTAGAATGCTCCCATCCCAGCATAATAACTTTTCTTTACTTGATTTAATAATCTAAATACCAATATAAAAAAATAAGCAATAAATTTGTTTAATTATAAAGTGAATAAAAAACCACTTATCATCGGGAATTTCAATACTATCAATAGGTTGACTAGCTAAAATATAAACATATAGATATATAATATTAAAAATATAGATTAAATCCAATTTAAGAATAAATAAGTTATAGTAATTGTATGGGTTGTAAAAATTAACTAAATTTGCACGGGTTAACAAATCTAGTTATTTTATAATCCATACAATAACTATTTTATTGCACGGTGTCTGACGTACAATCCCGTGCCAATAATCAAATGAAAAAAGCACTGGTTGTTACACTAGAAAAACGGCGACGTTTCGTGGGCTGAAGTCCTAATACTTAGGTCTTGCGCTTAGAATAAAACATTGTATTAAACATCTATATATTATTTTTATTTATAATTATGTACTGGGACCTTTTTATCATTAATTTGTCTTTGCTGCATCTAATGCAAGAGCCAGTTTTATGATCTATATAACTGAAAGATAAGATTCTTTACAAATAGGGCAATAATTATACTTAAGGTCTTCGAAACTTTTTAGTATATCAGTAGGCTGACAGGGCGAGTTAAGAAAATTTCGTCTTTAAAATAATTTGTTGCATATCAGGCTTCATTATTTCTTTCAAAATTTAATTTAAAACCATACCTTTTATTTCATGCAATCTTCTTTATTTGCTTGTTCGTCTTAATTTATGTTTTCTTTCGCTTTATATCGTCATTAGTTGTTAAATGGCGTTTGCGTGATTCACTTATTCAGTGAGCTAACCAGTTTTTCAGTTATTAAACGTTTTCGCTTCTTCTAGCTTCATTTCTTATAGCTGTTTGTTCGGTTAAGCTATTTTGCATTTTTACATTTTAACTAAGCTAAATAAGTACATAATAATGTTATATTTACTTATAATATGTTTACGATGTGATGATATTATAGATAAACTATTCTTATATCACTATTCTTATATCAAAGCCAGTTAATTTATTCTTTTATCAAAAGCAGGTTAATTTATTCTATTAAAAGTCAACTACTATAGTTTAAACCAAAATTTCGTATCCAAAATAGAACCTAAATTTAGGTTCAATTTTTGGATTCTAAACCTAAATGTGGAGCCGGACATTTCCGAAAATCCGTAGAGTATGGCTTGAAGGCTTCCACTTCGCTTCCCTCAGCTCCAACCAATAAGACCGTGCAATAATGTCTTTATTTTATCTGCATCAATTTGTGCTTGTTGTCCAATTACTAAATTCTATCTCAAATCTTAATAAAATGTTGAAAAATAATAAATTACACCCCTGCGTGTTGTTACGCGCAAATACGATATACACTACCTGCTATAACGAATTTTATTATTGCTCGCATGTGCCCTTCCTCGCACATAACAGTCATGACCAACCTTCCTTATACCTAAAGTCACGTCCTTTCAAGTGATCATTTAACAAATGCATCTGTGTCTAACAACGTAGTACAGTATAGCCAAACAAGCCGCAAGAGGTCACGTGAGCAGGCATTTTCGAGCATCGTTACTTTTACTTTTTTTTTTCAGGAGAGTAGTTAGGGGGATAGCTGAACATAATGTGTCGAGCAGAAAATTCAAACGACAAATAAGACAACAGATTATCAAGTTACTCAAATACCAATTCGTCATGATCAAGTCCCGTAACCCATTTGTCACATGGAAAGTCCAGTGACTCACAATAATGTACCGCCTTATGACTTCGTTGACAAGCGGATTCAATTATTTGAAACTGGACAGCAAAGCCTCTCACGCGTGAAAATTCTAGTAGGTGATACGTATAAATTTATCACACTACCTAAATAGGACATCTTTTAAAGAAAACAAAGTATTTATTAACTGAAAAATGTTAACAACTCTAAACTACGTAAATAAAATACATATATAGAAGTTTCAGGCTACTAATTAATTTTCAACAATTTTCAATCTCTACTAACTCTTCTTTTTCATTTCTTTTTCCAACATTTTCCTTTGATGATGTTAGCACAAGCAATTCTTGCCGCAGGGACACCAGGTGCTGTTAAAACAAAGGTTACAATTATCTTAAAAATTTGTTTTAGTGATATCTAAAATTTTAGAGAATGAATATCGTACCAGTATGAGGAGTATGAAGAACAAGGGAGCGACCAATAACTCCATTTTGAAGGGTAGGAGTACCACTCAATGAAATGAATCGATCAGTATACTTTTCTGTAACACTTCCACTTGGTGTTCCTGGAAGCGGACCATGTTTACCTGTTCCAAGGTTACCATATATGAATTTAATAATTTTTTTTTTATTCGAAAAATATTATTGTTTTAAAATACAGTTTCATACCACTTAAATCACCGGCTTCACATTTTTCAGGCGTTTGGGGATTGCATACATATCCAGCTACTTTACCGACACCTATTGAAATAAAAGACAAATTAAATGAAAATATCAAAATAATAATAATATACACATATATTCATATAAAATTTATTTTTACCAAAAGGATCCAAGTGCTCTCCCGCTGATTCACAGGAGCCAGTGGAATTTATTGCAAAATCGTGAACATGATAAGGGTATTTTCCGGTAGTATCATTCAAGCCGCTAGTTATTTTAACATGAACTTCGATTTTTGAATCTTTTTCAGTGAAAGTAACGGTTCCTGTGATCCCCTCGTATTTTCCTGTGAAACAGGCTGAAGCAATTTTTTGATGCCCACATTGTACAGTATTTAGGAAATAAAAGTTTATGAGAACGAGAAAAACGAATTTCATTGTGCCAAGATTGAAAAAAATATTTGGTCTTTGATCATTTAAATAAGTATTTAAAGACATGGCGTACTTTAATTATAATATAATATTATTGCAATGAGCTATCTATCATTAATTAAAATTGAAATTGATATTTGATGCTAAAAAAAGATCTGAAAAATTATCACTAATTTTTAGTTTTATCATACCATGATTATTTTGATTTATTGATTTAATACTAGCTACATCATCTTTACGTTATATATTATTTTTATAGCTAATACTATTTTTAGAAACGAGACTTTAAAAAATTCTATTCATTTCCTTGAAACCTATTTATATAATTGATAACGATTTAAAAAAACTTTTAACTAATACATAAATTGGTTATTTAAAAAAAATAATGGGGAAAGTCGCTTAAAAAATTTTAAATCCGTTTTACCAAGTTATAGTACACAGTTGCGAATTTATATTATAAAAAGAAGAAAATTCTTGAAATTATGTACTCTCTAGATTTTAACAAGCAACCTGGAGTATTAAGAAAAAACAGATGATTAAAAAGAGAAATCCCGTGATTCGCACCTACGTACGTACAGTATGTACATGGAAGATCTAATACTGTATCAAAGAGGTCTTGTGTATTTTCTAAGTAGAAGACACTAAACTCAAATTAACGTTTTATGTAATTTAAGCGATCAAATCGAATTCTTATTTCGAGTTGATAATTAATTAGTATTTTCCTATATATTCTGCAATAACACTTATACTCATTCCCAAAGAGCTAGGAATTGTCCTCTTTCCCTGTAAATCGACAAAAAATGTACTTTTCACAAAATTTGAGAAATGAGTGCCGTGATAACACATCGATCGCACGCACTTCATATACACTTTTTTTAACCGGGTTAAATTGCCACCTAAAAAAATTCCAGATCATGTTATTTGCATTATTTACATATTTCAAAAATCAATTATTTATGAAAAATTTTATTAATAAGCATCGTGTAACTGATATAACTTGATATAACTCACTCTCGTTATAGTGAAGATTCAGTATAGCAAAGAATTTTTGGGTTCCGGAATTATTTACTCCAACTCGATATAATGAGTACATAGTATTCTCTCGATATAAACTATAGTGAAGATTTTTTCTCGGCCCGAGGTCATTAAATCACATGATATGAATTTTTTTAGGTGGCGGTTTAACCCCGGTTCACTTTTTTCCTATATAATAATACTAATAATAATAATTTCGAAGCCCCTTAACCGAACAAAAATATTGCTATATCAGGCATACTGCAGTACAGTATTTAGATTTGGTAAAATTAAAATGCCGTGGAATGTAAAAAAAACTATTTCAGTACTGTATTTCGTTGATTTAATCTTGTATACTGTACGCACGAACGTTGTTTTTGACAAAGATTAGTATACGCACGAACGTTGGTTTTTCGTCAAATATTCGAAAAGATTAGTATGACAAACATACCAGAAGAATGGCTTGAAAAAGCTATTTCCGAAGGGCACATTGATTATATTGAATATAATAAATTTACAGACCCTATTGAGATCGGCACTGGAGGTTTTGGAAAGATTCTTAAATATGAATGGAGAGACAACGAATTAACAGTTGCTCTTAAATGTCTTAAAGTCGATACTACTATAATAAATGAAGAAACAATTAAAGGTTTTATAAATGAGGTATTATTCGCTATTTGAAATTTTAATTGCATTTTGTTATAGAATAATAATTTATTTATTAAGTGCACATATATAATAGCTTGAACAATTACGAAATGTTTGTCATCATCCAAACATCATAACATTCTATGGAGCTACAAAAGGTAAATACTGGGCAGTTAATAAATTTTAAAGGTATCAAATAATGATTATTTAAATAAAAAAACATTTATCTAATGTTAACGAATAGATAGCAACAGATATTATAATATGATTTTGCAATATGCTAATGAAGGAACTTTACGAGATTACCTAAAAACAAATTTTACAAGATTAAAATGGATAGATAAGCGACGTATTGCTAAAGAAATGGCTTGCGGACTTTTATTCTTACATGATAATAATATTGTTCACGAAAATCTTGTATGTATTATTATTTTATTTATGACTTTAATTTGTAACTTAATAACTTTAATTAATTTATAACTTTAATTTATAATTTAGCATTCGAAAAATGTCTTAATTCATCAAAGAAAATTAAAGATTGCAGGTTTTGGATTATTAAAGATGATGAAGATGATAAATAAGATGTCTATGACTTCAAACTCGATTGTTCATGAGATGCCAGCATATGTCGAACCTAAACTTCTTGTCGATCACAAATACAAATGTGACAGGAAGTCAGATGTCTATAGCACTGGAGTAATCCTTTGGGAAATTTCGAGTGGAAAGCCGCCATTCCAACATCTTACAAACGAAATGATTGTTGTTCATGTCTCTCAAGGGAATAGAGAAGAACCTATAGAAAGTACATCATCTCAATATATGATATTAACCAATAAAATTGTAATATTAACTTTGTATTTTTACATTTTATACAGCCAATATAATTACTGTATTTTTGTTTGTGTTTTTTTTAATACCCTCACCTCCTCTCTCATAAACTACTTTTATGTTATATTAAACAGACAATTAAATTGGAGTGGCCTAAATAATTGTTATGCTTATGGATTATGTAAATATTGGATTTTTGATATTAATAACGCAGGAATGCTATACACAATTGATAAATGTCATGTTTTTCAAATAAATTAATAAGAACTTTATTAAAAAAAATTCAAATCCTTTCAGATATCCTTATAATAAAGCAGAGCTGGGGGATAAGTAGATCGCAGGTGCCGAATAACCCTTTCCTATGATGAAGGTGCCGAATAATCTATAATTATAGTGTGAAGTTTTGGGAAACAGGTTTTTACTCATTCAATTACATCATATATGCATCCTCGCAGGTTTGTTATACCTTTTGTGTATTGTGCAGCTCACATGCAACGCATGAGACTTTCAACTTCGCTCTACTATTTTATACATACGTACTTTTAAATTTTAATTTAATGTTTTTATACACATGCACGTTATATACTATGTATGAACATATTTAACATATACATAGTATGAATGTAATCTTGGACTAATCTTGGCTAATCTATCTAAAAGAAAGAAAAAAAAGAAAAAAAAAGAAACAGA